CCCCCCTTTGATTATTAAAATAACATGACCTGGTCATAGCTCACACATTTTTATTATCCTGCTTTACTGCTCAAAATAAGGACTCCCTGTATATGAAACAAACCTTCATTCAAGTACTATGGACACATTTAAGAACAATGGATTTGTCTCCCCAATATCCCTAAGCAATCAACAGATAAACTTAGAACTCAGAAGTTAAGAACAGAAAATTTTATTTTTACAAACGTGGGGGGAAGGGCAGAGCCACTCTGTGGTGCTAGAGAGTATGCACAGCTCACCAACCATTAACCTGTATGTTGTAAAATTGCCTCAGGTTTGAGATTTTAGGAAGACTGAATAACAGCATCAAAAATGCAAAGTATGGGTCTCTCCAGTCCCAGCCTTGAGCGGTTAGCAGGTGGGCGACTACCAGGAGCCAATCAGAGACTGAATTCTCAGAGACCTCCAGCCAATCCTGGGCGTGAAGCCTTAGCCACCAGGGCAAGGGGGCGGGTTGTTGTTTGCTTGGTAGCAGTTACTGTCCCAGCCTCAGAAGCAATGGCAGTTGACACGTGCTGCCCAAGGGCACATCTAGCTCAAGTCCTGCCATGGGCCTGAGTGGAGGATACTAGATTGATGTGCTATTTCCACTTGAGTTTTGCGACACCATCCTCCTAAAATACTGGTGTCTCCATTCCCTGTAGTATTCACCACATATAATTAGCAATTTGCAGTTTTACGCCAGGATTATCCCAGCAGCTGTGACCTCAGATGAATTTATCCGGGAGCGCAAAGGAGATGGAGAGAACAGGGACTGAGGGTCTGGATGGGACGGAAGCTGTGGAGCAGGAGGTCAAGAGTCCAGGTAAGGGAGAGACAGAGGTTGACCTTGGAGACAGGAACTAAGCCTTATTTTATTTTCCTATCATCCTTTCTTAATCCCAGTTTGCACCCAAAAGAAAATACAACTCCCACACTCCCACCATCACAGCATTTGGAAAAGACAGTCTTTTTTTTTCTTTTCTTTGAAAAGACAGTCTTTTATTCAAATGTCCCAGGAGGATATTTGGTTATCTGTGCTGGAAAAGGGGCAGAAGGCTGAGTAACCTAGTTCTCAGAAATGGTACCAAAAAGTGGAGCCAATGCACTTTGAGGCTGTTGCTGCTGAAAATTCAGACCTTCACACCCTACCTCACCTTCCTAATATATTAATTATCTGGTTGTGAACAGAACATAGAGAAAATAGAGAAAAAGATGTTTGTTTGCTTGCTTTTCCATAGAAGATAAACAATAACATACATGTCTTTTCTCTAGGTCTAGAAACAAAGAAAATGCTAATCATAGGAAGTATGATATGTGGAGGCATTGCCATTCTTCTTTGGGCAATGTTAGGATTTCCTAGAAAATGTAAGTGAACAATTTTTGCTAAAAAAAATATTAATGATAATTTCCTTATTCTACATTGAACAATTGAAACAGAAAGTGTTCTCCCAAAAAGAGCATCTAATTTATCTTCAAATTTAGTCACTTGCTTTGCCTTCTAGAATGATCATTCTTTCAATAAATATCTATTGAACTTCAGGCAAGTACTAGGTGGTGATGATAACCAAATGAAAAAATGGGATTTCTGGTCTCAAAGGAATCCATCTATGCCTAAAAAGCAAACATATTAACAAACAGTAACAACACAAATAATTGCAAATAGAAGTATGCCCAATTTGAAGCAGAACAGATTATAAATTTGCTTTTGGTGTTCTATTAAGGCTTTATGAAAGGAGAAGCATCTGTGCTGAATCTTAAGGTCCAATAGGCATTTATCAGAGCTCTTTAGCTGAGAGAAAGAGCATGAGTGTCACAGAATCACACAGGTGTAATTTTGATAGGGTTAAAAAGAAGTGGGGTGGGGACTAGTAATTGTATTACATTTCCCTAGTGCATTAACTCTCTCACTCCCATAGATCTCCTTTCTCTCCAAACCTTTAAGTCCTCTTTCCCCATCTTTACTCTCAAATCTATATCTTTGCTTCCAATTTTACTTCAGAACTTATAACAATTAGTAGAAAACTTTCAAATACTTTCATGATCACATCTACTTACTTACCTTCATTTCTATCTGTTCAGACTCCTGGTACTATCGATGAAGTAGTCATGTTCCACACTAAATCCTATAGCCTGATCAGTAATAATACTTTAGTAGTTCTCCTCTTTCTCTCCTACATTATCGGGTGTTTTATTTTGGTTTATTTATTTTTATGTTCAATGGAAACATCTCATCAGCAATACAATATGGTGGTATATAACCTACCTTTAAAAATGTAGACTTCCATTAGCTGCCAATATATTTATTTTCTACTCTACAGCAATCACCTTGAAAAAAATTCTGCTAGTTTTTTTTCTAACTTCTATCTTCCCATTTTTTGTTATATCTATTCGAATCAGGTTCCCACTTCCTCTTTTTCTACCCAATTTGTCTTTCAGTTTCATTAGTAACTTCCATATTGCTAAATACAGTGGTCAATTCTCAATTTTCTTCTTACTTGACCTATTTACAGGAATGAACACCCCCTCTTCCTGGTAAAATTTGTTCATATGGCTTCCAAGACACCATTCTCTCATGGCTTGCTTCTTATCTAGTTTATCCATCTTTCCAGATTTCCTTTGCTTCCTTCTTTTCTCCCTGACCTCTTAATTTTGGTGTGCCCCAAGGGTCAATCCCTGAAAAGGTCCCCTCTTTATCTACCCTTGCATCTTTGGCCACCTGGACCAGACTTTCAACTTTAAATGTCACATAAGCACTGATCACCTCCAAATGCACATCTCCAATCTGGGTCTCTTCCCTGAGTTCAAAATTTTTAAATCTACCTACTTGACTGTCCAATATCTCAAACTTAACATTGTCTAAACTGAAATGTTTATCTACCTCTTCCCTATAACCTCTTCTCTTTGAAATCTGCCTCATCTCAGGAAATAGCACCTCTATCTTCCAATTTTGAAATACAAATCCTTATAGTCATGTTTTGACTCTTTTTTCCTCCTCTCACACCCAAATATAATTAGCAAATTTGCCTGGTATTTCAAAATATAACCAGAATCTGAGTACTTTTCACCACCTCTACTATTACCACCCTGTTCCTAGTTAACATCTTTTCCCTACTAAATATTTTTCCCCTTTCCACCCTTAACCTTCTAGGGAAAAAGTTTCCAGTGAAAATATGTTAGCCAAAAACATCATTTATATTTTAGAAGCCACATTTTAAAAAGTAAAAAGGAAAAAAAAGAAAGGAAAAAATTTAAAAAATAAAAAGTAAAAAGGAAACTAATAAAAATTGTTTTGATTGTATTTTTATTTAACCCAGTATAGTCAATATAGTGTCATTATACCATGTAACGATATAAAATTATTAATAAGATTTTTACATTCATTTTGGTACTAAGTTTTTGACATTTAGTGTATATTTTATACTTACAGGACATCTAGATTTGAACTAGTCATATTTCAAGGTTCAACAGATACATCTGGCTAATGGCTACTATACTGGACAGTAAAGTTTTAGAGTATATTTTTTAACAAAACTTTTAAAGAAATCAGACCTGTTTATAGAAGTACTGCAATTTTTTTTATTCGCTTGGAATAATGCCAAAAGCCTGTCAATGGCCTATAAGGCTCTATCAGATCCGGTTACCCAATTTCCTTTGCGATCTCATCTCTTACATCTTGCCTTTTCCCCAGTCATATAGGCATATTCACTCCAACCCTTGTGTAAACAAGCCAAACACTTTATATTTTATCTCTTGTCTTTGCTTGGGAAGGTTTTCCCCTGTGCATGCCTATGCCTCACTAGCTCACTTACTTCAAACCTTCAGCACATAGCAACTTCTCATTGAACCCTATCCTGACAACTGCGTTAAAATTGCAACTCTTTCCACCAATAATCCCAATCTTCCTCACTCTAATATATTTTATGACTAACTAATAATTACCTACACATGTAAATCCTATAGAGCAAACATTTTTTTGTGTGTGTGTCATGTACACTGTTGTATTTCCAGAGCTACAAAGGTGCTTTGCACATAATAAAAGCTCAACTGGTAGTTGGTTGAATGAATGAATGAATGAATGAATGAGAAAGCTTGGCTTTCTGGTGACTCAAGTTCTGAACCAAATTCTTGACTTTTGTGCTAGCTGTTTTTTTGGACTTGATTCTTTTAAACAGTTTTGGTAACCTGATTATTTAACTTAGCTTTTATACCAGCCTCACCCTGCTAGTTTATTGCTCCATTTGAAGATCTTCGTTGAATGAATGAATGAATAAATGAATGAATGAGAAAGCTTGGCTTTCTGGTGACTCAAGTTCTGAACCAAATTCTTGACTTTTGTGCTAGCTGTTTTTTTGGACTTGATTCTTTTAAACAGTTTTGGTAACCTGATTATTTAACTTAGCTTTTATACCAGCCTCACCCTGCTAGTTTATTGCTCCATTTGAAGATCTTCCCATTCATAGGCTTGACTATGAATCAGTAACTTATTTCTGCTGTGGGTAGGAGGTGTCCTTTTGGTAAACCTTGTTTTTCTCAAGGCTATACATGAACAAATAACTTCATTTATCTAATTACAGTAAGTTGGAGAGTAAAAAACTAGTAAAATTTCAACATTTTTCCCTCCAATGCCAACCGCTGGGGAAATGTAGTTCTTGAAATACATCTATTGTCAGTTAAGTTAGCAAAAGGGAGTCGGCCCTCTCAGGTTATGAATACAGAGAATGGGTTTATTTACATGTCCCACATGTCCCATAGTAGGCTACAGAATAGAAATAGATGAATAGAGAAAACGGCAATAGTATGAAGAAACCGGGAGGGAAAATGGCTTAAAATGTTTGAGTTTCTGGAAGTTTGTTTATTTGTTTATTATTACTACCTTAAATTAAGCGTAGATCTGAATTCTTCAATCATGATTTCTTTATACTTTGTTTTTTATCTTTAATTTTTTTGAGTTGATGTTTAAAGTTAAACCATTTAAATTGAATATGGAAAAATACATTTTTTTCAATGTTAAATAAATGATAACCGTTTACCCTGAAGGTTAAATTCTTTCTATTTCTTACACTTCATTCATTTTTTTTTCTCTATCACTGTGTTAATTTTAGTTAAAAATCCAAGGATCTTTAAAGAAAAGACATGCACTTGGGATGCAATTACATGTCCACAAGGCTGGAATCAAATCCATAATAAATGCTTCTTTCGATCTGAACAAGAAAAATCTTGGAGAGACAGCCAGGCAAACTGTATGGCCTATTATGGAACTCTGATCATATTCAGCTCCCAGAATGAAGTGGTTAGATTTTTCCTTTGCAATATAAACCTCATTTAATTTTTTGAGCTACTATATGACAAGTATACTTCATAGTTATGATACATCATTCAACAAAACAAACATATTTGCCTTTATGGAGCTTACACCCCAAGGGAAGAGACAGGGAATAAAAAATAGTTATAACAAACATGTAAGTTATGTAGGATAATAGAAGTTAGTAAATTTTATGCAAAAATGTATATTTTTAAATTAAATGGTTATTGTGAATGTTCCAAGTGGGTAGGCTGCAAGTAAGATGGTCTTCTCTCATTGCGATGATGACACTTGAACAAAAATATAAAGTATATGAGGGAGTTAGTCAAGGGAATCTGAGGGATAAACTTCCCTGGAAGAGGAAACAACTGGAGCACAAATATTATAATAGATATTTTCCTGGAATATTCAAGGAACAGAAAAGGGGCAGCCAGTGTGCCTAGAATGAGGGGGTGAGTAGAGGACATGGATTATTAAGGGCTTGTAGACTATTGTAAAGTAAAATAGGGAGATATTGCAGAATTATGAACAAAAATATGACATGATCTGACTTAAGTTTTAAAAGAATCATTGTCTTTGCTCTGATGGACTAGTGAATGGCAAATATAAAAGCACAGTGTCATCTTACAAAGCTGTTGCAGAAACCCTAACAAGAGAATAATGGGCTCAAAGAAGGACATTAGCATTGAAGATAGTGAGAATGAAAAAGTGCGGAGACATTCATTACAACAGTCTGTATCTTGTAAAAGGACTTTTTGACCTACTATCTGGGGACCTCTTCTTACTGGATTGGACTGAAAAAGCAAAATGCAAGTGAGCGCTGGATGTGGGCAAATGGTAATGCATTCAGCAATAGGTAAGTCTGAAAAACATGTATTTGTTATTAAATGTATTAAGCGTGATAAGGATTCTAGCCCCATAGGTCCTCCACATTATGTCCCAAAAAGGGCTCAACAAGGAGATGCCAGAGAGAACCTTCAGACAAACATGTGGCCTTTAGTGAGGGTTTGGCATCAGATGCCAATATTTCCTTCTACATGGTGACTTGAACTATAGCACATGTGAGCCATGTGCTATAGTTTATCCTAGACTAAACGAAAGTCTAAGTAGTTTGATCCTTGCCTCTTCCCACCTTGTTCATTTGTACTTTGCCTTTTGTTCATTTGTTGTTGCTGTCGACTCTCATTGACAGGGGAGTCTTAGAAAATACACTCAAGTTGACAGTCCATCCATTGGTGACCTGAAATGGAAGAGAATAAGTGAGAAATATGAAATATTTGTTCCTCTTGGCTTTTATTTAAAATTTTAGAACTTCTCTATGTTCCTTAGCCTGAGGAACTGATTGTACCTTTAGACTCCGTTTTTGTTCTTGAAACACTAAAGATTTTCTCCAACTTCAAGGAAGAGAAAGAAATAGGAAGGATGTTGAGTTTCTCATAGAGGGGACCACTAGCTACCTTTTACTAGCTATATAAAAAGAGTAGCAATATGGTTTATGATATTTCCTAGATTAAAAAAAAGCATAAATTTAGAGAAACTTCTGTTACCATTGTGTTAATATCCAATTTGGGGCAAAAATACACACACAATAATTTGAGGAAAATAATTTAGTCAGTAATTATGTTTTCAACTTTAAAAAATGTAAGAAAGAGTACGATAAACTTTCTGACTATGAAAGTGGTATTTTCTTGAGAGAAAATATTGGCTGCTTAACATATTATATATTACTAGAGGCCCGGTGCACAAAAATTTGTGCACTCAGGGGGGAGAGGGGGTCCCTCAGCCCGACCTGTACCCTCTCACAGTCTGGGACCCCTCAGGAGATAACGACCTGCTGGCTTAGGTCTGCTCCCGGGTGGCAGAGGGCAGGCCCAATCCCTAGGTGCAGCCCCTGGTCGGG